TCACTTGGTAGCCCAGGCTGGCCTCGAACTCACAGAGATCCGCCTGCCTCTGCCTCCCGAGTGCTGGGATTAAAGGCGTGCGCCACCACCGCCCGGCCAGGAGTAGACTTGTAATGTGCTGATGTTTAGCTTAGCTCATTTTCTTACTGTGTTATATCTACAATTGTGTTTTTCTGTATTTATTTTGTTGCGTTGGAGATTAAACCCAAGACTGCTTGTACTAGACAAATGCTATTGAGCTATGCCCCCTTGTGTTTATTGTTCACGTGTGTTGTAAAGGCTTTTTTTTTTTTTTCTTCTCTTTTTATGTTTTTGATGTAACTCAGGCTAGTCTGGCACTTACTATGTAGTTAAAGCTATCCTGAAATTTACTGTGTAGCTCAGACCAGCCTCAGGCTGTCTCTCTGCTTTCAGTCTCCCCAATTGTGGGATCATCATGGTCAAATACATTTTATATTTTATAATTCAGAAGTGCAAATGTGAAAATTCTCAACTGTTTGGGTTAAACTAAATTTCATTTTCTTGTTATTGGGAGATAAAATTGCATGATTGAAACATTTAATCTTAGGAATATTATCTTCCTTTTGTCTAAAATATTAGCAATTTTTCTTTCATTAAGAATTTTCTTTCTTGTCATAATTTAGATAATAATTACCTGGTACTAAATAAAGGGTATCCTTGTAGATTCCTGTATCTTGCTTACACGTATAGTGTGAGCTACTCTTTAGTTTGTCTGTGGGCATGCATCAGTCATTGAAATGGGGTGAGGTGGGCATTGAGCCACCAACTGGAAAATCTGTGACTAACTTGTTGGAGTCAAAGAGTATGGTTCTTATTGTGGTGATGCTCTCTAGAGATGTTGACTTCTGAAGGTACAGTCTCCTACTCATTCAGCATTATTTCTCACACAGTTACAAAGAAGATGATGACTTTGAGACTGATTCAGATGATCTCATTGAAATGACTGGAGAAGGAATTGATGAACAGCAAGATAATAGTGAAACTATTGAAAAGGTCTTAGATTCAAGACTGGGAAAGAAAGGAGGTTTGTGTCTTTGGGGAGTAAATTACTCACTGGATTTTGAGACAGGGTCTCTGGTATCCTTGGCTGGCTTTCAGCTTGCTATATAGTCAAGGCTGACCCCCTGTCTCTACCTCCCAAGTTCTGGGATTCCAGGTGTGTACTACCATGGCCAGTCTATGTATTGCTGGTGGTTGAATCTGGCCTTGGTGCTGCTTACCTAACCACACCCCCAGCATACCCCTAATCTGGCTTATTTGAGGGTAAGACAGTTAACGTAGCTTTGGGAGGGTGAGCAGGAGAGGATGTTTGATTTCTTACTCTATTCGTAGAGGAAGAGATCTGCTTTTGAGGTAGTCAGGACTAAAAAAAAGGATGCTGCTGTTTGGTTTTTATGGTGTCTGCACAGAAGAGTTGCTTGACTTCACCTGCAAGTTTGCATTTGCTTTCAGGTAAACAGTAGCATTTTCAGGCTATTTGAAATTACTGGATCCATCCTGTAAGTTGACTTACTTACTGCAATGATTGTAATTGAATAATAAGTTGACTGCTTATTGTAAGTCAGAGACATTCGGTTTATTCAAGAAGAGATTCTTCTTGGCAGTTGCTGAACTGGAGATCTTTTTTGTTGCTGTTTGTAGCCACTGGAGCATCCACCACTGTGTATGCTGTTGAAGCCAATGGAGACCCGAGCGGCGACTTTGACACGGAGAGGGAGGAAGGGGAAATCCAATACCTTATCAAGTGGAAGGGCTGGTCTTACATCCACAGCACATGGGAGAGTGAAGAATCCTTACAACAACAGAAGGTGAAGGGCCTGAAAAAACTGGAGAACTTCAAGAAGAAAGAGGACGAGATCAAACAATGGTATGTTGCCTGCTGCGTGCGGATAAAAGTGGTGTTTCCAGTCTAAGGGAAGGGAGCTTTTCAAATGTGTGGAGAACACTGCTCTATAGGATTTCAGATTTTGCCTTGGTCATGTGATCAAGGACCACTGAGCAGTCTACAGTTGTGTAGATGACAGTAGATGCTTCCATATATGTCTACTAAATTCTCAGATTTAACAAGGACAGCTAGCTCACTGAACATTGGCCACATTTTCTTTAAGTGTGTTGTTTGATCGTGACAGTATAACTGTGAGATTTGTTTGTTTCATTAACTGTTTTGTAGATGGGAGAAGTGAGATACAGAGTCACTGCAGGTGAATCAGTGATTGAATTTAGACAGCTGTATGTAGAGCTGTAGCATGACCATGTTGTTACTTTCTTTTGGGAAGTAGGCTGGGGTGGCTTATATGTGAAAGTTAATATTCTAGAACCCTCTGAGTTATGATATAGTTATTCTTGGTTTTAATACAGTTTGCAGAAATGATGTGAAGGTTTTTTTTTTTTTGTCTTGTTTAATCGTTGACCTGTTAGTAGTGAAGATTACTAAAGGGACACATGGAAGCAACTAAGTTTACATTTGTACTTCAAACGTTTGCTCTGACATATGTATAGATCTCCAAGATCTAACTGGTATATGCTTGTTTTTGGTCTTCTGTCTAGGTTAGGGAAAGTTTCTCCAGAAGATGTTGAATATTTCAATTGCCAACAGGAGCTGGCATCAGAGTTGAATAAACAGTATCAGATAGTAGAAAGAGTAATAGGTAAGTTCATGAAAACTCATTTTAGTCATGTATAAACTCGGAGAACATGACCTTTGGCTTTGGATAATATAAATTTATAAAATGCATTTTATAGGTTTACTTTTTGAGATAAAACAAAAGGCTTATGTTTATTTTGAAGGGAGAGTTAATAATTATTGCTTGTAGATTTGGGTATGGGGGATGAGAGACAGAAATGTTAAGGATGTTTGGCTTGTAAGATTTCTTAAGAGAATATGGTCACCATTCACTGAAATGGAAAGATCAAGGGAAGAACTGATCTTTGGATTTGAAATCAAATGCTTAGGTTGGTAACTGTTGTATCTAAGAGACAAGTATTGTTTGAGGGCTGCCCCGTATATTTCTTCACTTGGTGACTTGGAGATATATCTAGGTATTGTCGGTGTATAGGTAGTACTTAAATTTTGAAATTTACTGAGGCCATGAGAGAGTACACATTGTGAGGAGAGAAAGTCTGAGAACATTCTAGCATGTTTTCATGAGACAGAGGAGGAGTAGGCAGTGATCTAAGAGGTGAGCTAGGAGAGACTGCAGCAGTGGAAGTAGGTGATTGACATGGAATACTAGTCCTGGAATTGATCCTTGAATCTGGGAGTCGGGCTGCCTGGCGTCAGGGAAATGGCAACAGGAAACAGCTGTTGACAGGATAGGTCTGATTGAGGGGCTGATGGGGGACCCTCAGGAGAGACTGAGAGGTGATTTTTGAGTATAGATTCAGTGATGGTTTATTTTATAAAGTAACAGAACCATTTTTACTCTTTCAACTAAAAGTTCTTTGGGGAATTACTTAGTCTTTAAAACTTATGGAGAATGAAGCTATAAGAAATGCAAGTTTCTAGTTAAGGCTTTTCTAATTGCTTCATTGAACCTCTAAATGAAGAGATCACTCTGAGAAATAGTATGTCATTTTACTGATTGTACAAAGTCTGTGCCTCAAATTTTCTTTTTTATCAGTGATATACACACTACAAACACATGACATTTACACACTCTCCACAGCCCCAGTACCCTTGGCTTTGGAAACAGTGCCCAGGAAGTCTTTCAAACATTCACTGACATTGACCATGGAATTTGTTTTCCATCACACTTTGCTGTGGTTTGTTCAGTGGTCTTACTTACCCAGTAAAGCTTTTCTATTTAAAAATATTTGTAATGTATTTGAAAAGAAAAATAACAGAGTAATAGGATGATAGTCTGGCAGCCAGGTTAGAACAGGCTTCTTTTAAAACATGAGATAAGTGAGCACATATTCTTACTTGTAAATCTTTTTTAAAAGTTATTTATTTTTTATAAGTAAATATAAAATTTTATAAATTTTTTATAAATAAATATAAACATGGATATACAGATCCATGTGTGGGTATTTTGCCTGCATGTATACCTGTGTGCATTGTGCATGCTTTGTTCCTGAGACCAGAAGAGGGCTTCAGATCCCCGGGGCCTGGATTTACAGACAGTTACAGTGAGCTGCCATGTGGGTGTTGGGAATTGAACCTGGGTCCTCTTGGAGAGCAGCTAGTGCTCTTAACCTCTGAGTCATCTTTCAGCCCCTTCCTTGTAAAATCTGTTTCTTCTCCTTTCTTGGTATATTTATAACTTTTCTGTCTTATTTTATATTTGTTTAGCTGTGAAGACAGGTAAATCTGCATTGGGCCAAACAGATTTTCCAGGTGAGTACCAGATCTTATATAGTAAATGTTCAAAATTTATGAGCACATTGGGATTTGCAGATTATGTATAGTTTTGCCATATGGTATTCATTAGCTATACATTAAAAAAGAATATCACTTCCTACTTTTAATTTGACATTGTTTGATAGCTCATAGTCGGAAGCCAGCGCCTTCAAATGAGCCTGAATATCTATGCAAATGGATGGGACTGCCCTATTCAGAGTGTAGCTGGGAAGATGAAGCCTTGATTGGAAAGAAATTCCAGAATTGTATCGACAGCTTCCACAGTCGTAACAACTCCAAAACCATTCCAACAAGAGAATGCAAGGTTTGGCGATTGTTGGCTTTTGTGTTTTCATTTTTTTTATATTTTTATATTTTGTTTTTCTGGGACAGGGCCTCTTATGTTGCTCTGGCTGTCCTGGAACTCACTGTATAGATCAGGCTGGTCTGGAACTCACAGAGATCCATCTGTTTCTGCATCCTGAGTGCTGGAATTAAAGGCATGCACCACCACACCCAGCCTACTTATATATACATATTTTTTTTTTTTTTTTTTTGTGGAAAGGTGTAACCAAGAGGTTAGTTGTCTAAATATATAGAAGCAAAAATAGAACAAGAATGAATAAGGATTTAAAAGTAACATTAAATGTAAGTGATTACTGCATGGGCTGGGTATATAGTTCAGTTAGTACCTGCCATGTGTGCAGCCCTTGGGTTTGATTGCCTAACATCACACCAAACTGGGCTTCATTGTGCTTGCCTATAATCCCATCATCGTTCTGGAAGTAGAGGCAGAGAGATCAGAAATTCAAGGTCATCCTTGCAGTGAGTTCAAGGCCATCCGGGTTTACACATGACTTTTTGGCTCAAAGGCAAAAGAAAGCAAAAGGAGAGGATGAGGAGCTGGAGAGGTGGCTCAGAGGTGAAGAATGCTTACTGTTCTTGGAGAAGACCCCGGTGTGGCTCACAGCTGCCTGTGACTTTAGTTCCAGGAAATCCAGTGCCTCTGACCTCTGAAGGATTCTGCACGCATGTGGGAAACATCAGTGTACATATATATACACACACACTTACACACACAACTTTTTAAAAAGAGGATCAGTTGTATAATAACTTTGCTGGTTTCTATAACTTGCTACTTTGTGGAATTAGATATATTGTTAGAAATGTTTGAAAATAGTTAACTTTAAAACATATAGGAAAGATGTCTCTGAATTTTAAATCAGAAACTGAATATACAGACTTTTTTATTGCTGGGTTATACACGTCTTTCTCCCTTATGGAAATTTGTTGAGATCTAGATATATGCTTGGTTCCTTGGATTGTGTCTTAGAGAAGTTGAAGTTCATGTTTATAACATCAAATACCTGTCTGTGAAGGCCAGCATGTGGTCATCATTCACATGAGTGTGGTGGAGAAGCCATGGTCAGAACAGAACAGAGGTGGAGGTCATAGCTCTGATGGGCATTGAAGAGGTTTTTAGAGGAAAGCAGCCTCTGGCCTTGAAAAGTGGATTGCTGCTTAATAGCGTACAAGAAAGGGCCCTGGGGCCTGGAGAGTTGGGGTAGTGGTTAAGAGCAGTTCTTGCTCTTGCGGTGGCTTCAATTCCAGTACCACATGGTGGCTCACAACCATCTGTAACTCTAGTCTCAGGGGATCTGACACCCTCTTCTGACCACCTCAGGTACCAAGCACACGTGTGGTGTACGTACTTCAGGCAAAACACTCAGACACATAGTACAATAATAAAATAAACCTAAAAAAAAATTTTAAAAGAGAAAAAGACCCCAGGATTGAGTTCTCATAAAAGGTACCAAAAAAATTTTGTAGTCAACAACTCCTGGATCTGAAGACATTGCTGAGTACATTTCCTTCAACATGTGTCTTGACTGTTGAAGGAGTTTTCAACAGTTTCGGGGGCCTTGAATGGAGAGAAGCAGGTTGTGATCAGAAAGATTTCAGCCATTGATTTGATAGTGAGTAGGGAACTGGACTCAGAAGCTCCGTCTAGTCATGTGTCATAGAAGTCAGTAATTGAAGAGTGAGTGGAGGGCCAATTAGCTGAGGCCTGGAAAGGTTGTAGACATGAACCATCTTGAAGCCAGTTTGTTAGGAGCGGATGGATGGCTAGTGTGTGGAAGGTGAGCGTGAGGGGTCAGGTTGTATTCATTGTCCCCTCACACAGGAGAATCGAAAGTACTGATGACTTATCACACCCAGTGGGGGTGATAATTCCCGGAATGGGGAAGAGCATCTTGCAGAAAGACATAAGTGCTGAGTGAATTTCTCCGACAGATTCACTGTATAGCTACATATGCTCAGACTGGAAAGTCCTGAGTAGAGACTTGCATGACTTTGAATGCATCGTTCCCCAAACTGATTAGGCCGCAGAATCTCCATTTTGTGTGAGCAGTAGACTTGGCCTCAGTAGAATGTAAGTTTTTAAACCTTCCGCAGTGGAAAGAGCAACCTTTCCTTCTGAAAACTAAACTAACAAGGTTGGGGCTCAATGTAAGTGGGCTGAATCGCAGTTCCCAGGTACAGTAATTGTAGGATTCCTTCTTCAGCAGCTGTCAGTGACAGACTTCCAGAGTGTTCATGTATTGTTTAGAAAAGGTGACATCAAGGTAACTAACTGTGTGTGCCACACAGCAAAGGAAGAGATAATAAAGAGCTAATTGATGTCTACAAATTTATCTCAGAAAAAGTTATTTAAAAATACTTGATTTTAGGATGAACTCTGGGAACAGAGAGAGTACTGGGATAAGGTAGGATGGGGTAACCATTCATACCTGAAAGTAAGTTTTTTTTTGCATAGAGTACATAAAATATGGTTAACATTGTAATGTAAGAGCAGGGAATTGTTCTACAGTATATAAAATATGGCTAACATTGCAATTTAAGAGCAGGGAAAAAATGTTCTAAGACATAGGTTTTGTTAATTTTTGTTTTTCAGGCACTAAAGCAAAGACCACGATTTGTAGCTTTAAAGAAGCAGCCAGCATACTTAGGAGGGGAGAATCTGGAGCTCCGAGATTATCAGCTAGAGGGTCTCAACTGGCTTGCTCACTCCTGGTGCAAGTAGGTAGAAGATAATGGCTAGATTTTTCTCTACTGTGTTTGGCTTATTTTTATCCTAAGTGCTAAGTTCTGGGGCTCATTTAGGCTTTGAGAATTTAAGTGATTTAAGGTAAACATGATTCCTCTGTCATTGTGTGATGCATCATGTGAGAGCTTCTTTTAATGCTAGTGACAGATTTCTTTGACACATAAAGGAGTTTTTATTTATACACAAGCGTGTGCGCACACACAGACACACAGACACACACACACACACACACACACAGACACAGAGTATGTGTTTTCCTGCATGTATGTCTGTGCACCACTTGTGTGCCTAGTACCCACAGAGGCTGGAAGAGGGCATCAGTATCCTAGAACTGGAGTTACAGATGGTTGTGGTCTGCCTTGTGGGTGCTGGGAATTGAATCAGGTCCTCTGGATGAGCAGCCAGTGCTTTTAATCACTGAGCCATCTCTCCTTTCCCACCCTTTCTTTGTATCTTCTTCTTTTTTTTTTTCCTCCCCTAGACTGGGTTTCTATGTGTAATGGCTCTGCGCTGTCCTGGAACTCGTTGCATAGACCAGGCTGGCCTTGAACTTACAGAGATCCACCTACCTCTGCCTTCTGAATGCTGGGATTCAAGATGTGTGCCACCATGCTTGGCTTGTGTCTTCATCTTTTATAGTAAAGCAGATATCGTTATTTCAGAATTAAAGTGTAGCTTGGAAAATAACAATATTCAAATTTATCCTCAACGTTAGGAGATCGTCTCTAGTTACACATCTGCAATGACTCTTTCCCAAGTCAACTACTTACTGTACTTGTCTTATCAGGTGAATGTAGTATTTAAGACTCTGAAGAAAAGTCCGTATTTGAGCTGCAGTTTGGGTGACTGAGAAATTGGGTCACAATCATTTGGGCTGCTAAGGATGATTTTCTTTAACCCTCCACCCCTACTCATGGAGGCAAACCTAATTCAATGCAGTGGGAGTCATGTAGACACAAATAAACAGATGTGAATGTGGGTGAGGGACTTCGGAAGAAGGGGTTTGGTTTGGCGGAGGGGTATGGGATAAGAGGGAAATGGAGGGATTGATCAAAGAATATTATGTGTATGAAATTATAAACCAAATACTTTTTAAAAAACAATTTTCCTTTCAGAAGCTAGTAAGTCTTACTCTTTTAAAGGATCAGTAAGAACTTAGATGTAACTAAAGAGTTAGTATGAGCTAGCCCCTTTTTATTTTACAATTGATGGTTCTTTTTTTCTTTCTTTTCTTAAAGATTGATTTATATATTATATGTACAGTGTTCTGCCTGCATGTTTGCCTACAGGCCAGAAGAGGGCACCAGATCTCATTATAGATGGTTGTGAGCCACCATGTGGTTGCTGGAAATTGAACTCAGGACCTCTGGAAGAGCAGCCAGTGCTCTTAACCATTGAGCCATCTCTCCAGCCCCAATTGATGGTTCAATTATGAGCAAGGACACTATGAGCTTCCTCCAGAGTTGTATAATATTTGCTATTTTTTTTAAAAATAAAGATTCTCACTATGTAGGTCAGGCTTGCCCTAGAATTCACAATGTAGACCAGGTTCTCTGTAAACCCAAAGAGATCTGCTTGCAATCTTAGCAATTTAAATGCCTTGATCTTCTAGCTATACGTTACCTTTTATTTTACTTTTAGTATTCTGGTTCACTAGTGAAGCATAGATACGTATAAACATCAGTTCATTTGGCACAGGAAGACTTTGGGTTGACGTACAGTCGCAGTAGCATGAGCATAGCTGAAGGAGCAAAGACTGGGCTGCTTGGAGGCAGCATCGTGTCTCCAGGCACAGGGACAAGAATACACATGCTCCAAGGTCTGTGTGCCTCAAGCCCCACTTGTCAAGATTCCAAGATCTGGGTAGTGCAAAGCCCTACCTCCACAGCTCCTTAACAGCCTTTAGCTGTCAGCAGTGCCCATTTTGGCTGTACCTCATGCTGCTTCTACTTCCAAACAGATGTACTGATGTTTGCTTTACCTGCAGAGACATGATGAGCAACTACAGTTAAATCTTCCAGAGGTTTCTGGGTTAAAGAGTCAGAAAAGGTAGGAAGGAAGGGAAGAATGACCAAGAGCCCTTTCTAAGTTAGGCTGGGTAGAGCCCCTCCCCCCCCCCCCCAGAGGGACTGTCAGCACCTTCATCCCCTCCCCAGGCTTTGGAAACAGGAAAGAGAGCTCGGAAGTAGTCCCCTATTAAAGATAGCAAGCAGAGGGCACAGGAGAGCAAGCCGTTGAGGGATCAAGCTGAGTTGATGGCACTGGAATTGGGCCATGTACATATTCTGGGTTGGGGAGGACCCAGATGATTCTACAGTACTCAGAAACAGCATAAAGCCATAAACAAGCAAATTCAGAACTGTGAGGGTCCTTGGCAGCCCCACAGTTCTGATACCGGGGAAATCCATAGCCTCAGCTAAAGGCAGACATGTTATTTTTATTTATTGATCTTTTAAAAGTTTGCTTACATTGAATGTGTACCTGTCTATGTATATATACCTGCATGTCTGACATGAAGGAATCCTGTCTTCCCATGTGGGTTCTGGAGACTGAGCTTAGGTGGTTAGGCTTTTGTGGCAAATGCCTTGACTCTTTGAGCCATCTCATTGGCCCTTAAAGAACCTTTTCAAAATGTTTACAGACTAGATCATACATGGATTTCTAATTTCCTGTCATGGGCTAATATTTTCTGTTTCCCAAACATGCCTTCCTAACTTTGGTCATTTTCTTCATCTGCCTTTGTTTTTACATGTGTACAGTTAAACAAACATGTAAATTCAGCCTATTTTCTAGTCCTTCCTTCCTTCCTTCCTTCCTTCCTTCCTTCCTTCCTTCCTTCCTTCCTTCCTTCCTTCCTTTTTTTCTTTCATTCTTTCCTTCCTTCCTTTTTTTTTTTGGTTTTTTGAGACGGTTTCTCTGTGTAGCTTTGCGCCTTTCCTGGAACTCACTTGGTAGCCTAGTACATTCTTTCTTAAACTGTCCTTGAACACTTGCAGAGGTTGAATGTACAGAATCCTCTCCTACTAGCTCTTCAAGGCAGAGGCAGGAAGATTGCAAATTCCAGATCAACCCCACCAACATAGTGGGACTCTGCTTCATAAAAACAAAACAAAACAAAAACTAAAACAAACCCCTCAGAATCCTGCACTCTTTCTTGAATATGAAACATATTTAAAACAGATCCCCTTTGCCTAGAACATATAAGACCCTGGGCTTTACCTCTAGCACTACAAACAAACAAAATCCAAGCCCTTTACACCCTGCATCAAGTAGGTCTATAAAATAGTAGATGTGGTATTGGACAGTCAAGTGGAATGCAGCGGAATGGGGAAGGCAATTTGAGCAAAGGCACATGACTATTGGGATATCGTCTTCAGCAGCATAGCCAGTTTACTTGTTTTGTATATTGATGAACCCAAGGCTATATGCTTGTATGCATCTATGATAAAACCTGTGTTCTCTGTTAGAAGGGGTAGCCTATGGAAGACAGTATAATTCCGAGCCTCATTTCTAAGATAGAAACAATTAGAGGAGCCTTGTGTAATCTAAATCTTGAATAGACTTCCAGATAGATTGGCCTGGTCTGCTGTTTCTGTCTTCTGCTTTCTTCCTTATTTAGGAGGCTTAAGTCATTGAAGATGAGGAGAAGAATTTCATGGCAGAGTCAATCTGATGCCTTTCTCTGCTGATACTGTCAAGTGTGTTATTTGTGCACATAATGTTTTTCTCATGAACTAATAATTACTTTGTATTTTTTTTTCTTATTGCAGAAGCAACAGTGTAATCCTTGCTGATGAAATGGGCCTAGGAAAGACCATCCAGACCATATCATTTCTCTCCTACCTGTTCCACCAGCACCAGCTCTATGGACCCTTTCTTATAGTCGTCCCCTTATCCACCCTCACTTCATGGCAGAGGGAGTTTGAAATCTGGGCACCAGAGATTAATGTAGTGGTTTATATAGGTGACCTGATGAGCAGAAATACGGTATGTAAACAAAAAAAGTTGAAGTAGCATGTGTGTTAAAAATATATTTTAGAAATTGGCTGATAATGTTTCATAGCTGTATTAGTAAACTCTTGAGTAAAATCATTCACACACACCAGGCAGTGATGACGCACTCCTTTAATCCCAGCACTGGGAGGCATAGGCATTTGGATCTCTGAGTTTGCGGCCAGTCTGGTCTAAAGAGCAGGTTCTAGGACAGCCAGAGCTATTACACAGAGAAACCATGTTTCGGGGAAAAAAACAAACAAACCAAAAAAAAACATTCACACACTGTATACTCAGTACTTGGGTTTAGTACTTGGAGGTCTGTCAAAATGCAATTCATATATTCTTTAAAACATTGAACAGGGTGTATACTACTAAGTTTTAAATAGCAATAGTTGCATGAGAATTTCTTAGTTGGATTGCACTGTTTTCTCTTCCCTCCTTCTCTCCCTCCTAGTGTCTCACTGTGTAGCTCAGGGGAGCCTCCCACTCGTGGCAATCTACCTGCCTGAGCCCCCTGACAGCTATGGTTATTGGCATGCATTACCTGTACTAGTTTGATCTTTATATTTAAGATTACCTTTCCTTATGGAAAATTAATATCTTTGCTATTTTACCCAAAATGTTATTGGGAAGACTTAATTCTTAGAATTTATTTCCCAATCTCTTAAAACAGTTTCATAACTTACAAGAAAGAAATAATAAAGGAAAACAATACATTTCTAGGGCTGCAGAAAAGAGAATTATTTGGTATGAAATATTGACTTGAGCATCATGAAATTAACACACAGTGATGTAAATTTGTCTTTGTTTATAAAAACATTTTTTGAGGAATATGATTTTTTTTTTTTGAGTACGTACTGTGTGTTCTTTTACTGAGTGCTTTTATGTGTCCCTGTAACCTTTGTGATAGTCTTCAAAATTGATGGCAGCAAATATCTGAAATGCCTGCTAAAGATGACTATCCAGGGAGTCTGTCTAGTCCTTGCTTTTAGATGGCTAGAATGGCAGAACTGGAGCCTCAGCTCACCAGACACAAGTCTGGAGTTTGGCTCTTGTGTCCTTCTATATTAACATGTTTTTGGAGATTGCTTGTAGTAAGAGTGGGTTACCAGAAATCTTCAAAATTTTAGATAAGTGCTCTAAACACGTTTTCATGGATTCAAACTTGTTTTTATTAAATGCTGTCATTAAAATGACCTGACGTGGTTGGGTTGAAGCTGTAGCTCTGTGATAGACCCTAGCATGCTAGACCCTGGGTTTGATTGCCAGCCCTGCAAGGAAAACAAAATAAAAAAAGCCATCTGATTATAAAGTATATTAGGCTTCATTGCCATAAATTTGACCTTCTAAGACTATTTATTTCTAAGACTGCAGCAGTTCTTAGTTCCATTAATTTGTTAGTTCTTAAAGGAGAAAGCAAGCAAGGATTTTGCTTTATGCCATGTAATTAGTACTTCTCTTTAGTCTTTGGTGATAAGCACCTTACTCATTGTCTTGATTTCTGTTTTCTAAGTCAACAAACCGTAAGAATTTTGTTAGTAGTCATTGTGTTTGCTGAGTTTCTGGTCATGTTTCAGTATGCATTCATTAATTTTCCAGTTTCTTTACATTCTCAATATTTCCTACTTACATTAAGTTATATTTTCACTCTGCAAAATTCCTTTTCTTTAAATAAAAAAAGGGCTGCAGAGATGGCTCAGTTGTTAAGAGTATTGACTTCTTTTCCCATTCTGTAGGCTGTCGTTTTGCCTTGTTGACCGTGTCCTTTGCTCTACAAAAGCTTCTAAGTTTCAAGAGGTCCCATTGATTGATTGTTTCTCTCAGTGTCTGTGCTACTGGTGTTATATTTAGGAAGTGATCTCCTATGCCAAT